TCTATTCAGACGCCAAATGCAACAGATGGTATTTTAAGTTTAACGGCAATGAATGTAGTGGTCCCTTGCCAATCGATTCAATCGTTTACAATGGATTGACGACTGGAAGGCTTTCTTTTATTTACCGTAATCATTTTTTCGAAGGTTATTGTGAGAACCTTGCACGAGGCGCAGTCAGCGTTGAAATCTGGGTAGGCAAGTGCTCTGGGAACAAACTGGGTGACGCTTACACAGGATGGAATTCAGTGTCCCGGATTATGATTGAAGAAGTACCGCCATCCCAGTAGTGCTGTTTATATTCATAACTGGGAAGAAATGTAGCATAAGCGGTATAAGAGATCAGTGTAAGAACTTGATAGAAATACAGTTGGATTTAATTATTAGATTTAACAAGGAAAAATTCAATATATGCATATCCCAGTATATATACTGTCCATTATAACTGTTTGCTGGTGATACAGCCTTGATATAACTGTGATATAACTCGTGATATAACTGTTTGTTCGTGATACGCATAGAAATGTCACTGATATAATCCATTTATGGCAGAACATGAACATTTTATTCTGTATCTGATCTTGACTGTTCTCTTTGAAGAAAATGCATTGTGTGGTGGCTTAACCTATATTCTATAAATTTTATAGCTACACATGTTACTAAAAACTTTATTGAAGAAGAAAGAGAAAATGAAATAACAGACTGAAGCTATACGGAAGTTATACGATTTTCCTCGCCCTTATTTTAGTTTCTAATTGTGCAAAATTGTGCATAGTATTAATACTTTACTGAACAGTACCTCCTAAATAGCGAAAATAATTAAATCAATAAATAAAATTTGCTTACTCTTATTTCTGGTTCATTTACAAAGCTCGGGCCCAGTTCGAGCCAGTTCTTTTTCTTAAGTTTGCTATCGGTAAAGAAAACACCGGATGATTAAGTTATCTTTATATTTGCTGTCAAGTATTTCTTAAAAAATTGTTTCGCCGTATTCCAATATTTTATTTTCGATTTCTTCGATTTTGACGCAGAGACTTCACATATACCTCCAAGAGAAGTGCATGGCTGATTTCTTTATGATCGCTACAATCTCTGCCATCATTAGGATCGAGAGAGAGCTGATATCTATCTTAGCGATCGTTGTCGCAACGATTATCCAACGATTGTGAGGTAGTGATGGCTGCGACCGGTTCGGTAGCAATCATGTGGAAACCAACCGATATTTTCCCCTTGGTCTTATGCCCCAAGCGAGGAGCCCTTCAATACGGATCGAGAAGACGAGGTTACTTTTAAGATATTTATTACATCTCTACTGAAGAGATGGGGGTGGCCAAAGTAGGGAAACCCCCATAAATGAAATTTTAAACTATATATGCATTAAAGTTCTAAAAAAGGAGATTTAGACAGATCTAAAAAAACCTTAAAACGTAATTTTCGACAGCCTTCTGTGGTCTTCTTCAGAGAAATGTACTGTGTAAGAGTAACGGAATGCAAATATGTAGCTAAGATGTCATTGTTCTTGAAAACATTACCCAATGTTTTTAGTGGTTTAAAAGCCGTCTTGATGGTTACGCGGTTCAAAATCCGTCTAATTAAATCGTTCCGACACCCCTTTAACATATGGAATTGACGCATAAGCTTCTGGGTTCTGCCGAGGCTTTGGTTGTGTGTCGTTTGGTTGACCGAACGATTTAATGAATTTAATAATGTCTATTATGTCTCGACGATATTTCCGGGATCAATATCCCTTCCGGGTCACGTGGTGCCTGGCCGTAACTCCCGGCTACGTCAAGGAAATGAATCGGTCATAAAGACCTGGAAAGAAAGCCTACAGGAACTACGCAAGAAAGTGTAGAAATCACTCGCCATGCACAGGTTCAGTAGTCAAACTCAGTTAAACGGACATTCGCTCGCATTACAAATAGTTGATCTCACTTTACCGCCGACACATATAATTCCATACATATGATTGAAGATTGTTCCGTTGCTTTTAATTGTTTGGTTTAAAAGGGTGCGTTTCATTGGAAGAATCCAAGATTGAAGTTTAAATCGGAGAACCGGATTTTCGCGTTTCTTTACTAAACAGGTTAATCCAAAATCACCCGGATTATGGTGCATCAAAGAAAGCGAAGAATCCACTCTGGACTAGAATGCTGATGCACCATGACCCGAGTGATCTTGGATTAATAATCTGTTTATTAAAGTAACACAAAA